TGAGTTTTCCGCCTCTCAAGATCTGATGATATTATGTATTAATCATGTTTTCGACATTAAATGTGTTGCTCTCAGCAAGTAGCCCAATTAGTGAAAAAAAAATGTTTTGGAACTCGCCACAAGGACAGAAAACTAAAAAAATACAGGCACATAGTTGGGCAACAGTCTTGAATGCCTCTTTGCTAAGCAGATAGCTCTTTCATTTGGCATGCTTTTGTGATAGATTTGATCTAGTTTATCATTGTACATACCTCCATCATCTATCAATCTCATTTGAATGAGAGCAGGGTCTTCATTGTGTTCTTCTAATACAGTATCATCAGTAACAGCTAAACACTGAAAAATACAAACAAATAAATTAATAATACAGTATCATCAGTAACAGCTAAACACTGAAAAATATAAACAAATAACAAATTAATAATACAGTATCATCAGTAACAGCTAAACACTGAAAAATACAAACAAATAACAAATTAATAATACAGTATCATCAGTAACAGCTAAACACTGAAAAATATAAACAAATAACAAATTAATAATACAGTATCATCAGTAACAGCTAAACACTGAAAAATATAAACAAATAACAAATTAATAATACAGTATCATCAGTAACAGCTAAACACTGAAAAATATAAACAAATAACAAATTAATAATACAGTATCATCAGTAACAGCTAAACACTTAAAAATATAAACAAATAACAAATTAATAATTCAGTATCATCAGTAACAGCTAAACACTGAAAAATATAAACAAATAACAAATTAATAATACAGTATCATCAGTAACAGCTAAACACTGAAAAATATAAACAAATAACAAATTAATAATACAGTATCATCAGTAACAGCTAAACACTGAAAAATACAAACAAATAACAAATTAATAATACAGTATCATCAGTAACAGCTAAACACTGAAAAATACAAACAAATAACAAATTAATAATACAGTATCATCAGTAACAGCTAAACACTGAAAAATATAAATAAAGTCCACAATAAATACAATGTTTTTCTTGCAGCTTGCCGCTTTTTGGTTTTGGTTTTGGACTTCAAAGTACAAGTTCTTAACCAGTTGAAAAAGCACAATTTTAGCTATCTCTCACATGTCTTACATTCAAAATGAACATATTTTATATTTTAATGATTAATTACAAAAGAATTAAAATTTGTTATCAGATGCTTGTTGTGCATCTTAATATTCATCTTAATATAACAAGACATAAAACCACTCTACATGCTAAGCTTAACAGCAATTTATCATAATTTACCCAAAATATGACAAAAACTTCAAATTCTCATTTCAATCATGTCAGTTAAATTTGTTTTTTGGGGTTTTTTTCATTTCAGTTCTACATATAATTTTCTATTAAACTATTAAATGACATGTTTTAGATGTACAGTTATTTCTTAAACTACATGGTAACATTAATAATCAGGAAACACAACTGGGTCTTGGTTTAAATTTAATTTTGTCAACTTGACATTCTTCAAGGCTGAGAAAAAGTACATCTATGTTTTTGTTAATTCATCTATGTCTAAATGAGTGGGTTTTTTCATCAAAACAAAGAATAACAAATATCAAGTGGTATAAGATTTTCATTGAAGTTTACCCTTTGAACATCGAGTTGTAGAAAAAAGGTATAACAGGATATATTTCAAACTCTCAGTTCTGCAAGATTTAATTATTTTGTAGAGTATTTCAGAAAAATCTTAGTGACATACACATATCACATCGCTTTAAATCAAAATTGTTCATGCGAACTTAGTAGAACATCTGAAAATTTTATGTGTTTCTTTAAAAAGTTCTAATCAAGTAAGAGCTGATTAACACCTATTGCACTCTACAGGCTTAGGTTGTTTGATGGATGTACAGAACTTTCGAGGTGAAATAGGTGAGCTCCCCTTGAAACCTTCAGATAGCTATGGGCAATTTGTTGTTAAAATTTTATATGCTATTTTTACTTCTATAATATTAAGTGTTCATAGATTAATTTCTTATCTAACAGGATATATAATTTACTTTATTAAAGTACTCAATAACTGACATTTACTTTCATATTTATTTGATAGATAGCTTCATATATAGACACAGGAAACAAATTTTCACAATGGATGACGAAAAAACAAAATAAACATTAAAAAGAAAGGTCAGATGACAAGGTTAATGTAAAGTCCACTTGTTAACATGAGCAACAATCAAGATTGGTCAACATTGCAAATACCACAGGTGTCAGTAAGAGTTCATCATCTAAAGAAGCTATAGAAATAAGATTGGGTCACATTGGGTCACTGCAAAAAGATTGTGTGTCTTAATATTTACAGAGAGTCTGAAGAAATGAGATTGGGTCACCGTAAAAAGCATGGATAACCATAAAAAGCATACCAAAGGTTTGAGTGGTTATCTTAAAGGGATATTGTCGTCGACATTCAGAATGAAAATTAAGTGTTTGGTTTGCAAAGAGTCAACCGCCAACTACAGGCAGTTGGTTTCCAAACCATCAAATATAATCTATCAGCAATAGTGACAACAGTCTCATGTTCCAAACCGTTGTAAATATACTTCTGAACAGGTATCACTGAACATCCTAATATATGATCTATATGCATGAACAACAAAATTTATATTTATTAGTCTGGAAACTAGCTATTAGAATATGAACTAATATCATAAAGACCCCTATTACTATCATAAGTCCTGTAAACTTCCTTTAATGTTGTATCAGACCTTTTAATAAAGATCCCTTGTCAAATAGATGTTGTTCCCACACATCTATATGATGGATGTTTATGTACAGACGACCTTGATATTATAATGTAATATGAGATCAATATAATAGACTTCTATATCAATATAACTCTATTATTGTCAACATGGACAGAGAGAGAAGATATGTCACCCAGCTATACCCATATTGAACTGATATTTTCATTGCTAGAATACAGTTATCAATACCATTATATTCCCGATGACTGTGTGAGAACCACATTGAAACGTTGAAGTCAATACAGCTAACTTTTATCAATTTATCCAAAAATGGGTGGAAGAGGTGGAAAGCCCATATTGAAAAGAACTATTTCATTGCCACAGTGTATATTAAAATCAAGTTACCCGTCATATGCAAGGTAATTAGGTGTTGTGGGTTTTATTCCCCTTAAAGCCATTTAACATTCTGATAATGGAAATCCTCCCAATAGGGATGCAGACTGAAAATAGGCCAGTTGTCTGAAGATTGCATAGCGTGAAACTCTACAACATGTGAACAACAACATGTTTTTGTAGGTTCTGATATTTCTGTGTAGATATATGTATTGCGACTTTACGCACTGTTCTTGTATCACAGAAATTGGTAAATATGCAGTAATTTGACTGGATTGTTCGCAAGCCAATATACTCAATCAGAACCATTGACAAATAGACTGTATGACTGAGCATGTAAACTAGGGCTCAAATGGGCTGTATTCCCAAATGTATAATCCTATTAAAACACTGCATTTACAAACCTATTTTTAACATGAGCTTTTGAGTAGTTGATGCAATGTTACAGTGATTAAAAAAATTTGTTTCCAAACTCAATGCACTTTTATCCTATAGCTTGAGGACAAAGAAATGTAAATGATGTCTGTAAGATAAGTGTTGTATAATATATGACTACTTAGTCAAGGACTTGAATAATTGTCACTTAATTCAGTAGATAAAGTCACGAACTGGGACAATAGAAAGGAGATCGGGTAACTGTTTAAAGGTAGAGGATTTACTACAAATATATGCAGATCAAGGGAGGGTTATAAACAAATTACATAAAACTCACAATAACTGACATCATTAACTTATTATTTACATGAGCTTATCTTTTGCTGTGGACATATTTTGGACATCCAACACCAGGCATGAGATTTGGAAATGGGTATTAAAGGGACAGATGCAACATTTTAGGAGATAGATTTTAGTCTTGAATATATGTAATTAGTCTTCGGAAGTATTAGAAATGTAGGAAAATCACAAAAATATCTCATAAAATATCTCATACTAGGAATTTTACTCACTATTTCTATATATGCATTTTCTATATATCACATAGTATCTTAAAGTCGTCATTTTTAACAATCCAACGCGGATAATTTTGGACACACATGGATTTCAAGGCTCAAATTTTGACGGTTTCTGAGACTAAAGTATGATTAATCAAAGAGAATGCTGCACTGCTCTTTAAATACCTTTAACCCATGAATAAAAGCACCCAAGTCCTTTTTCAAGTATGCTCTATTTAAACAATTTCTATACTTTGCAAACCCTTGTTGTATCTATAGTTACTGTTGTATTTCTACAATATGATCATGTTTAATGTATTGCCGAAGGTCCCTAATGTATAATTTATAAGAGTTAAACAAGCTAGGGTGTGTAGTCCATTAAAAAGATAAATATTTGTGTAACTATTATTATAATAACATAATAAGGTCAGTTAGTTATAGGCCCTTATCATCATTGATATTTGATTACTATTTCTCCTCAAATAATAAATTAAACCTGACAATTCTCATGTTTATTATCAATATATAATATTAGCACACTCCCTGACGCGACCTAAATATTAAATCAACACAGAGGTAATCCAATGGATCAAATAATCCTTTCAAATATAACTTGCCCCTCCCAATAATCTTCAATTATAACTTTACTTCACAAATATAACTCCGCTTACACACGAAATATGTCCTTATAAAATGGCCTGCATAGACAGAAAAAAAATGATGATTTATATTCAAGTGTAAATTGAGCCTCCATGTTGCAATAACTCAGCTTTTTTAAAGTTTTGTACTTTTGTATGATTCTTTGCAGGTAGTTCAAGGTCATCAGAATTTTACTTGCTGATACCAAGCTTTAAATTCTACACAAAAGAGCAGTTAGGTGGGTGAGAGAAGAGAACTCAGTAGCAGCATGTTGGTGTCATTAGTTTGAATCATCTAAGCAGTGAATAGTGCTCTCTCATGCAATAACTCTGATCATCAAAGTCATGGTAACAATTCAGAAATCCTGTTCAACATCCTGAATGCCTGAAAAGATCAATTTGTTTTGCAGTCACCTGATATTATAAACTCGCCCCCATCTTAATCTCTATATTCAATGTTCATGTCAAAAAGACATAACATGCAAATACTTACACTTAAAAATAGTTTAATATTTCCCAATATCTTGCATCCTGTATACAACCCTCCTACTTAGATTAGATTCAATATCATTCATAAAAGAAATAAATTCATAGTTGAATACCCATATTAAACATTAGTTTGATTACTTCAATTAATTATCCTGATTTTTATCAATTTTCATAATCTAGAACACAATGTCCTTCTAATGCAAAATAAGCACCTGTTAGGATGACAAGGTTTACCAGAGTTGGTATTGATCTCACTTGGATCATCTTTACCCATTTACAGCTGGGTCCACTGCAATAATAACAACATATTTATGTCTTATTCAAGGTCACCATGTCGATTGACATTAACACCCATGACCACCATTTGTTCAACGTAACCTAGCAAATTGTGTCAAGAGTCCAATGATCTATTTGAAGGAACTACACACTGTTTTCGAAGATTTAAGCCTTACACAGAAACTTGGCACAAAGACAGTAATTTATCTTTCTTTTACTGTCATCAACACATTCATATTCTTGAAATTTAAAACTCAGTTATTCCTTAACTCGGTCCTTCTTGAGTAAAGCTAAGGCATGATAAAGTGAAAGTAGTAAAATCTAAATGACAAGACTATGGTAAGGATTCACAGTAGTAGTCTATTGAAAACATTTATTTTCAGTCATCAAAACTAACAATTTGTTTTGTAAATAGACAAATACAGACTCTCTTTTGGTAAATAATTCACACAATACTATAGTAGGTGAATGACATGTAGACAATTATCACCCCAAAATAAAACAAAAGGTTGAAATTTCATCATCTTTTTTTCTTATCATAAGACAAAAGTGTCCACCCATCAAATATTGATAAAGTCAGAGATAGATAAACAGCTTTATCCCATGAATTGACATTATATTATCTCTCAAGATATGTGATAGGGTATCAGTGAGGAATTCTGACTACCAATTGTCACCATCACAAGGTATCTTGTTATCTTTTGTTATCTTCAATAACAGCATGGAATATCATACCTCAGGTACAAATTCCAATTGTTATCTTTTTAATATTTTCAAACCTTGGCTTAAGGTGTCAAGACATAAAAATGAAATGAAATGAATGGTGCTTTACGTCCTACTTTTCTGCACCATGTGGGCTAACGAAGACACAGATGTACTGATCCTTTTTCAAGCATTTTATTTAGCACTGACCTGGGTTACTACCTTACTACTACTCTTGACCTTCTGTTGATTTTAATTTCATCATTATTAGTTTAGATCGAAGAGCAAGACATTTTTAGATCAATGTGTTTTATTTGCTGGTCCTTTTTTGCATAAGAACAAACAGGGCATAGGAAGTTTAAACCCGATAACAAGAAGTTCATTTGAAGGCTATGCACTAAGCTGTCAAAAAAAGCAATGCAAACCCCTTAGGTTTAATAATAATTGGATATACTGCATCAAGCATCAGATATACACCAGGGAAACTTAATTTAACCATCAAACCTTTTAAATTTAGTCCAAAAAGAAACATTGGCTGTATTGAAATCAGAATGATTACGTATGCACTAAGAAGTATAATAAGCAGCAGTCAAATCAGTAATTTATGGTGTATGGATTGCTGTCCTTATATTATTATACTTATAGTCATCTCTACTCTGTCATTATATTTTTCAGTGAAATGTCAAAGATAGACAATAATAATCTCAGCTATCAGCTAATATCAAATTCATGATCAAAATGATACCCATTATCTATAATAATAGACATGAAAGATGGAAAAATTATAAACTGTCTGGGAGATTATATCTTGAATTCTTTGATCCAATACTTTGAAGTAATCTAAGGACAACTATCCATCATGTTTATTGAGTCAACTAAGGGAGGATGTTTTCATTCCAAATAACCAAATATAGACCTTCATTTATTTCAAGCAGATTTTCCATTTGTTGTGAAATTGTGATGTAATAATTCAATTATAATTGACTTTCATCATTTCATCCAGCCAACATGTTTTGATTATAAAATTCTACAATTACATCTGATGATGACACGTGTATATTGTGTTGAAACGTTATGGGCCTAACCTTATTAAAGAAGTGCGTTATATTCCATAATATTGTCTTTTATTTTGCTCTATGTGCTCCTCACTTCTATATGTCGTTCAAATCTTATATATATAAAATCCTCATCAGGAGATCTTTAGAGTGAAGAAACTCCTATGTAAAGAAAGCATTGGCTGAGATCACTGCTAGTATTGGACATGGACATGACCTTCTAGATCTACTGTAAGAGCAGAGTAGGGGACTTCAGTTGTTTTAATGTAGACTTAGCCTTATTAAGTCTTAATTCGGGAATGACTAGTGAAAAGGGCTACAAGACCAACTCCAGAAGGTTTTGACTATAGCCTCAGTAATGTATCTAGTCTGACAAAGGATTCAACAATTTTCATAGTTAATATGTGACAATATCTATATTCTGTACTTCAGTAACAGTAATTAACCTCAAAGCAAGAGTATGTAGCAATAGTTTAAATATTGAGATAGTCTGACATATAACTGAACAGCTGAACATTGCTAATTTTTGTTCTTCACTAATTTTCATACATTTCATACGAAACTGTGGTAATTAGTCAATGTCTATCAGCAACAACACCAGCTGACACTTATACAACTTGAGTCTATTAGTAGAATATAAACACAATGTTTTTTAAACTTTTATGTATATCAGGAGACACAGGTAGCTTTAATTTACATCATTCCAATTTTTGAGATTCTTGCAATTTCACAAGCCATAAATAGCCCTGAGAGATATAAAACAGTCAAAAACCTCTGATCTCTGTACAGTTTTTTCAATAAGCGTCTCATGAATGTTTTCATAAAATACATTATCATTCTAGTCAGAGAATCTCAATTCTTCCATTTTTGAGTCGAGGGACTAAAGAAAATGTTTTACCTTAGAAGTATGATTATAGGACTGTATAACTGCTGTATACCATTGAGTAGTACCTTCAGCTCTATATACCTCCACTCTATATCCCACTAGTACTGTTGGCGTTGTTAATATTATGCGCTGTCCGTCTTGATAATCTACCCAACTTTTAACTTCTTTTTTTAGATCAGGATACACATCTAATATTTTATGCCTTTTTTCATCACCTTCCTGAAAAATAAAAAATTATTTTGTTAATATCAATCTAATTTATTCACATTTTTATTTGTAATAGTATCCTATTATCAAGCTGATACAATGAAGCCACCATGTCACAGTTTGATGATGGAATTAGTGCATAAATTAAACTAAATTTGGAATAATAATACTGAAACTATAGGTAATATACATAACATTATGACTTAGAATAATAAAATGTGTTCACTGTTAAAATACATAACTTATAGAGCGATATACAGAAATACCACTGTTAAAATATATAACTTATAGAGCGATATACAGAAATACCACTGTTAAAATACATAACTTATAGAGCGATATACAGAAATACCACTGTTAAAATATATAACTTATAGAGCGATATACAGAAATACCACTGTTAAAATATATAACTTATAGAGCGATATACAGAAATACCACTGTTAAAATAGCCATATAGAATTATCAAATCATACAATTGACCTATTTCAGCCTGAAATATTTCTAACATTATGACTTATTTTTTCATCAGCTGTTAATTAGTGAAATTTTTTTTAGCTAAATTGTAATTCTTATTGCTATATCATCATAAAAAAAATGAAGTACTGTGGTAAATATAATATGACAGTGACCTGAAACTGATGAAGTTTAGTGTAAGATGGGAATGTCCCAAATGGAATTAAACAAGGCATTAAAATTTAGTTTTCATGTAAATCTAAATTAATATCATGTCGTGAACATCAAAATAATCAACAATTCCACTCGTAGTAATCATGTTTACTACTACCTCTGTAAGACACAAGAAATCCAATGAAGCAGTGTATCAAAATATCCAAAACTATCAAAACAATGCTGCTTACCAGACACAAAATACAAGTTTATCAGCAAGTTTTTGCTATCAAGTATTACAAATAATTATTATGAGATGGTCCCTAATCACCTGATGTAAAATGTTGAGGGCTGAATGATGTACAAATTTCAAGTGTTTCTTTCCTAATTGTACACAAAAATTTATAGGCATGTGTGTAAACATCACCATATTCTCAAGCCGGGATGCAATCAATTTCAACATGTTATTTTAGCTAGTTTTTTCATCTATTTCAAACTTCGTGATCTTATGAATTATGTTTTCTATCTTGTGTGAAGTGACAGAGAGGAGGTGATAGAGATTTATTGATATATCTATTCAATATTCAAGGAGATATGCAGAAGTACAGAAATGTACTTGTCAAGTTTTCAAACAAGAATTGACGAAATAAATCTATAATAGTGAAGTCTAGTTTCATTCTGAAGGTTAAAATTTCTCATCAATTTAATATAAGTGTAGCCTAGCCCACCACTCAATACTTGAAGCAATCTGTAGACATTTGCAAAAGAATCCAATACTGTGAAATTAAGTAGAAATTACATCTTCTTCATAAGACATAAAGTATTTCATTGATTACAGAATTATCAATAATAGATGCAGGATGCAGGGGCATTTTTATGAAACGGGGGCTGCCAATTTGTAGAGGGGAAGGGAGCAAACAGTAACAAATATTTAACTCACTGAGACTTCAAAAGCCAGGCCAATTGAATTTCAATAAAAATGTCACTGATGAGGGTTCAATACTCATTCTGTTTATTCTAATCATACCCTGGACAACAGTGAGGAAAATAATGATTTTTCATCTAATAGGTTGGTGCCCTCTAATCCTTTGCTTCAATGAAACTGCCTACAGCACAATATATAAATAATTCACAATGACACTTTTGAAATCAAACTGCTAATAGAAGAGGATACAGTTAAAACTGCAAATTCTGTTGAATTTTAATTAGAAATATACTTCATATATCAACAAGCTACTATTATATGATATATAGTTTAACTTTTTGAGAATACTATTCTCATCTCACCCTAACAATTAACCGCAATGTTACAACCTAAAATTCCTAACATCCAGTGAAACGAAAATCTCTAATCTAGCCACTTCAACCCTGTGCCAGTGCCTTCTGTTGAATGGTAACTTGTTACCTTTCAACCACTCTAATATCTAACAGTTATGTTACTTTTTATAAAATTATTAATTTCTAAATGACTGAATTTTGAACCCGGAATGTCTTCCATACAAATCAATCATCTATTATAAAGTGCATAATATAATGATTAAATGCAGCCAGCAGCGTAAAAATTATTATCAGTAGGTGGTTATTATAGTGGTTGATTTTATGATTATTTCATGCTGAGAGTACAGGGGAGTGGTGTAATCTAATCAGATTACATTGTGTTATAATAAAAAATATTGCCAGATATAATATAATGACACAACACATCATAATGTCCCGCTGTGTAAGAATATTTTTATTAAAAATTTAATTACTGTGATTAAAAAATTTGAACTGCAAAAAAGTTTTTTTCACATGATTTATGAATAAGAGCATGAACTGACATTTCATTGTACCAGCAAAATATTGAAATGAAATCAAATGAGTTACTGAAATCACAAAACAAAAAGAATTTATCATCAACATAATCTTTAAAGAATGGGTATATTTTAATCTCTACGACTGCGATTGTATCTGAATAACGAATGAAGTATAAATCTGGTCTATTTGTAAGTTCAAAAGACCTTAAATAACACAAAGAAAAAGCAGTTCTTATAAAAAAAATAAACATATGAATGTCAACTTTGGAACATATTGTACACTTATACCTTGTGCATTGAATTGAATACAAAGTGGGCACTGACATTTCTATTTTAGAAAGGAAGAAAATGTGTTATATTATTAAAATTTAGAATATCAAGCCAATGTAATGTGTAAAGAACAGGTTTTTATAAGACCTTATTTCTATGTAAATATTGATATAATAAAACTTAATGTTAGTTTAGTGTCATTTTAATAGTACTATATTGTAGAATATATTTCAACATACTGTTAACAACATGAATAGTCACTCAAATATTGCTCAGTTTTTCTTTAGAAATTACTATATATTGGCCCTTTTATATCTTATAATTTGATTGTTGATATAACAACAACCCTTAAAGGCATAACATGGACAAGGAGCTGAGTTTAGTGCTGATATTCTAACCTTTCTAACAGCACAGAAATGCAAATAAAATAATAGAAATTTTCTAAATATCAATATCCATATTTATCAATATCTTGGAGTTCTATAAACTCATGAGAGATCAGAGGTGAATGGCATCTTCAGCTCTGAATAAGTTTATGAACAGTCTTCTACTAAATCAAGTATGACATTTATTGGAAATCAAAAAAAAAATTCATAAATCAAAAACTGTTTCCATATCAGTAATCCCACCTGAATGGTTAAATTGAGGATTGGTAATAAAAGAAGGAAACTTCCAAGATAATAATCAATGAGCTTTTAGCAAGTAATTATAAAAAGAGTAATTTAAAAGTTATCAGGGAATCTGTAATTATTGTTGTTAAAAATGTTANGAGAATAATGCATGATATAATAGA